GTGTGTACGCGATAATTAATTAACAACAGATTTCTGGTTAGCTAAATCTACGGAAAATGTTATACCTTTTCATATACAAATACTAACAGATGTAAGTTTTTATTTTTACTGTTTAAACTTTATTTACGCATGATAATCGAAACATATTTGTTTGTTTACTTCGCTACACCATTGAACATCATCATAATCTGTAACAGATTTCAATGTGATTATATTTCTTCTTTTATGTTTCAGTTTTCACAAATTTATAATTGAATGGAATTGAAATGACAGTGAGACATTTTTTTTGATTATTTGTTAATATGCTATACTATTGATTTTATTTGCATATCTCTTTGTGTCTTCTATGTGTGTGTTTCATGTGTACAATACACAACTAGTAAGCTAATTATTAATAATACGATTAGTAATAATAAAAAAATAATCACTGAACACATCTGACAGTAATTAAATTGCACATAAATCTATCTGCGATTGCATTGAGACAATTAAAAGTTTTTTTCATAATGAAACAAACAAAAAAAGATGAATTTCTTTGAAGAATGCAATTTTCTTTGAATGTAGTAATAGTGTTGTTGTTTTACTGTGTATTTTGTTCGAAATTCTTTGAATCATTTTCTTGTTTTGGTCTTTTCAGGCTGAAACATATTTTAATCAATTTCTCGGTAAAGTTTACTTGAACTGTGTACACTTGTTGAGACAATAATTTTGTTGTCCCTTTGTAGAGAATAGTGTTTTAGACATTTTTATTTAATAATGTCAGTGTTCGAATGAAATCATACACTTACATAAAGTCATCATGCTAATAACTTGAAAATTAAATTGTATAATGTGGTTAAAGAAATTTTCAATGTTAATAGAAATTTGTTGTCTGATGATATTTCAAAGTGATTTTGGAAGTTTCAGTTCTTACAAACCGTATTGATCAGATCAAATCTACATTGCTTCCCGCAAGGGAAATTCTATGATTTAATATAAACTGAATGATCGGTAATTCAGCACCATTAGAGGGAGTTACACCTAACTAGAACTTAAGTTATCCAATCGAAATAACGATTTTTAATCATAAGCCGATCGGAATTAACTGATAAGTAGATTTTTCCACGCCTCAGTTCAAGTTTGTTCCAGCCTCTTCACTTAGAATGCATAGAAGGATAAAAATAAGAGAGTTAGATCTTTTCTCAGTGTTTGGTTCATCGTTCATGCAACTTATTGGTTAGTTTAAGATTTATTTAGCCTAATTAGACCAATACCTTTTGTATAAGGGCTATTAATGTATTTCGACAACAAAAATAGGTAGATGTTTTGAGGTCTGAACCCGTAACTGGACGAACGAAAGATGAGTTCTTTGAATAGTTAACTAGATCCTCACTGGCCATTCGTTTTAGTCACGTGGTCTGGCGATATTGCGTCATGAGAGAGACTTTAGATTTTCGAACCCTACTCACAAGCTGGACTTTTAATGACTACAGTGAGCAATTCCAGTTTCTAAATCAGTTTTTAACGTCACGTGACATTTTGTAACTGGCTTTAATGTGTGGTTATTTTTTTAGCTCATACAGTAAGTTATGAAGGCGAGATTTTTGAAAACGATAAGGTTAAAGTTTGTTACGATCAACCGATATGCATTCAACAGCATATTATAGTTATAACAACGAGTAAGATTCATTCTCACGTAGATTTGAACCAACTGTTTTTATATACTCACTTAAAAAACCTCTCCACTAAAGCATACAGTCCAGTATCTACTTAGCCTTCCTTCCTAATGTCATTTTGTTAGTAGGCATAAACAGTGGTCTGGCCCATCATACACACACTACAGAGAAAATACTCTGATATAATCAATAACCAATTGTTTTACATTTTAACAAATATGTAAATTAAATGCTTTCAATAGATTAATTAGTTAACATATTTAAAAAGTTTTGTTCGGCTAGCACGACAGAGACAGATTACCAACATATTATGATAATTAATAATAAAATTTGAAGGTCACTTTGACAAGATTAATAGCATAGAATGGAAAAAAAAAGCGTTAGAGTCATAAATTAAATTGATTAACACTAAATTATGAGTGATTTGATATAACTTATACAACATTTTTCAAATCAGAATATATTTTTCATTTATATTATGGTGGGAAGTTTGTATATTTTAAATGAATGATTTTTAATGAATCCAAAACCAGGTCACACTGTAACAGGTAAAGATGTATTGACAGCTGTAAAGCATTAAAATACTATTTTTTATTTTATTTTAATATTTATTGTCAAATGTAAAAAAAATGATAGCTGTTGGATTGACAGATTTTAATTTTTACATTGAGCATGCTAAAGTGCCGAACTTGTTCCAAATGATCGACATTTGCCAGTTTTTAGTCAATGTTAGATTTGTATTAGCGATGAAATGTCTCTTCTGATGACTTATTGTAAAATTTGTCATTTAGTTGACAGGTTTCGTGTAGATATTTATTGATTCTTATTCAAGTATAATAAAAGGTGATGGATTTAAAAAAAATACTTACTGAAAATTAATTGTAATATATACAGTATTGATTATCAGGTCGCTGAAATAACATTTTTAATAACTTTTTTTGTTTCAATCTTGGAAAGTGTTATGCTCGTCAGTTGATATGCTTTAAACTAACACGAGTTCACCTTAGTCCGTAAACGAGAGCGAAGACAATTGATCCAGTGACACGATAGGCTACTCTAATCCGAGCATCCTAAAGCCCCACTAAGTAGAGGAAGAAGTCTTGACAAGACCCAGAAAATATGAGGTCGACAAGCACACAAATCGAGTTTGGTTATACATCATAAAAACGTCCTTGGGAGAGCCACAAAAATAGCGTGCCAAAATAATGCATCAACCAATGACAGTCAACGATTTTCCGAGTTGGAAATGTAATCTCAAAGTCAGTTGATCAGCCCATGCTCAAAAATATAAAATCCAAAATTAGGACCTTTATCAAGTGAATTCTTGGGATCTAACGTCGCCAACAGAAAGCAGTTCATCATGTTTATCGAATAAATATGTTCACATAAACAATAATTTTTCTAAAGTTATATTTAACTATGATCAGTTAGTTGGTCATAATCTACATAGACCTTGACATGCACATATGTTAAGTCTATGTTGTTATACTATAATAACACGATAAAATGGCATCAACAAATAGAATAATAAAAGAATTGAAATGATAGAGTAACAATAATAATGAAAAATTTCAAACTTTGAGAAGATACGTACGTGAAGATAGAAAGAAAAATGTATAAATGAAAGGATAATGAAGCTAAAGGTTAAACGTGAGATAAATAGTGAGTGTCCGCTTAACTGTGGCTGATTTTGAGTTGTGTCTAACCTCCGGTCACAGTTATCAAGTGGATCTCAACCAAGTGATCTAAATCTAATAACCTGGCTCAGATTAATAATCACTAACTTCACATACGGACTCATTACTGAGTATAATTTATGAATTCAATGCTTGACAGAATGAAGAATCGATGGTCAATCATCTCATTATTCCATTTGTGCGTTTTGTTTTTGCAAAAATGGATGGTTAAAAATTTAAATAAACTAATAACACTACTCACAAATTTTATTTTTATATTAAATAGGAAATTTATTATTTGATAAAACATAAATTTCCAAATGAAATTCATAGCAAATTTACCCAAATAAACTGGTCTCAGGTTGTTTGTTTTTTTAGTAAAAGCAAAATAAAAATTTATTCAATAATCTATATTAACTAATCCTACATTTATGGATTTTATAATGAAAGAAAGAACTAATAATTATTGAGTATGATTTAGAAGATGAGACAGACTTTGATAGTAAACCAGTCAGATAAATGATTCGTTAGCTGAATAAATTATTTTATTAATTAAGTGCTAACAATATTCTTAACATTTTGTGTTTTCCAATTGTAAGCGATATTAGTGAGCAAGAACGTCGAATTTAAATTCTTTTAAATTTAAATTGTAGTTCAAATGTTTGATGGGGAATTTTTGAATATTTTTCAAATAATTTATTTAATAGATAATGAAAAAAACCATGTAGAAGTAATTTATCAATGATAATTATGTTCAAATAACTTCCAGATGTACTCTTCTATTGGTATATCTTCTTCAATCTGAACACCTTACGACCTTATGTTAGTAACATTCAAAAAAACTGATGGAAAAAATGTATACATTCAGGGGTGTCATGGTAAAGCCAAGATTTTCTATTTATTTACTCCATCCAAGTCATCAGGAAATAGCCACTTTAAAATAAATTGGATCTTATTCATTTGGTACTATGATAGAATATATTGGTATGTAGCGAAACGTTTTGTCACGGTGTCTAACTAACAATGTTTAATAAATATCATATAATATATTCATGAATCATTGCAGTGACGATTATAAAACTAAGAAATCGCAAGACATATGTATATAATTTAAATGATACATTTACTCATAATAAAGACCGAACATTGATTCTGTTTATTTTGAAAAAGATAGCATTCTATACAAATTGATTGATATTGAAGTTAAGAATAAGCTGAAATTTATCTTATCTAATTTGTACTTATTAGCTGCCAACTTTATGTATATAAATATTCGTAATAAATAACTTTATGCTATATAAATAAAAAAATATTTTCTATAATCTAAGGAATTAAGATTTTTATAAGTTAATTATTGATCGATTTATAGATATGTATTACGGGGTTGTGAAGATTATTAAGTTACACATTTTTTGAAACCATGAATCGATCAATGTTAGACCACCATTAGAAACCTGGAAGCACTGGACGGCCGTTTCGTCCTGGTATGGGACTCATCAGTAGTGAGCATGCACGACTCCTGCATCGCGCAGGATTCGAACCCAGGACCTTTGGTATTGTGTGCGAACGCCCTAACCGTTAGACCACTGAGCCGGTATCTAACGGTGTTAATGTCGTTATTATTTTCACAAAGTACATTATATTTCATTTTGAAATTATGTACACTTACCACCAATAACCCATAGTTCCAAATGCATTTGTATAATTAAAATTTAATGTATTGATAAATAAAATTAAAATAATTATTCCATTCAAAGAATATTGTTTTCTTTGATATTGTTGATACTTTCTATGAACTTTGACTGCAGGTAGTGTAGATGTAATTATAATGCCTGACATTCTGCATGAATTTTTTCAGTGATCAACTCATTTTTGTTCGAAAAACAACCACTAATCAACAATATTGTTTGAAAAAAATAATTCTTTTTTCCAGAAACATGTAAATATTTTTTTTGAATCAAGTGAAATAATATTATAATTATTTAATTGATGAAAGTAGAATAATTTAAACACTGTTTAATTAAATTCAATGGTCAATACTTATTTCACAAAACAAACAATTAATAATGAAGTGATACAATTGTTAAATATTCCATAATACTGCTGAATATTATGATGTGCACTTTGTGTTTGAATTTATTGAAAGTCAAAATTACGCCTACACATATGACATGTTTCTATTAGTCAATAAGGCATAGAGATATGAAGAAAGCAAAATACTTTCCAATCTTGCTGTATTTTCTGACCTCTTACATAAAATAGATTATTTTTCATGTATGAATTTCCTAAACATTAAAGACTTTCATTTGACAATGTTAAGAATAGTTCGAAAGTGGAGTAAACAGATAAGTTTGAATATTTCAAACAAACAAGCGTACAATCTATTGTCTAATATAGTGAGTATAATAATTATGTACGTCTTTATATTAATTGTATATGGTATTCGGTATTATCTCTCTACATGTATGGAGGCGTGTTCAACTGACTGTGTAATATATAGATGTGCATATGTTTGTTATTGGAAAATAATATAACTTTTATCTGATTGTTAAGAATGGAAAATGCTTATAGGCAATGGTAACTGGTAACTTCATAATTATCCCTTCCTATTGTAAATACATACACTTATATGGACTGTACTGGTTTGGATAAATAGATTCAATAGTCAATTGTCTTTCTACCTACTTTTCATTGTATGCATTGACGCATATTGTTTTTTGTCACACCAGGATAATATCCGTCTACCTTTAGCAAAAAAAAATACTGAGCTCTGATTGGTTAGCTTGTTGAACGAATTGTTAGATTACATTGCAATGAGTAGAATGAACTAAGTCTAAAAGAGGACACTTTCATAGACTGTGAATGAATACATATATGATTGTCTTATAACATTAGGATCAGTATTCATGAGTAGAGTTTTCGAAAAATGATTGAACCATATAATATTACTGAAAAGATAATTTTCAAAAATAGAGTTTGATAATATTCACTTCATTTTGGTGTCTTACACAAAAAGCTTCTATTTTAAAAAAAGAACACAACATTATTGATGATTTCATTTCAATCCACTCGATATTTAACATCATTTTCACTTTAGTTAGATCAGTTATATTTGAGAATATTAATAAGTTGAATGTGAAACACATCGTTGGTGGTATGACAAACTGCATACAGATTGCCCAAAAAAAATCTTGAAAATGAATACAATCAAATTTTAAGTTATAATAACATGCTTATTGTTAGAAATTAGCGTACATTAGTTGATGAGTCGTTATCCAAAGTCACGATAAACGGTGAAGTTTAGCGAAGAATTTCACCAGAAGACAGTATTTTGGTCCTAAACAAACTTGTACATAGACTATCCGTCATGCAGACTTCAAAGAAACTTTAAATACACTTAAACAATTTCTAAAAATCAAAACTTCAAATGTTTATATTTCGTTGTAAAATTGTTTATTTACATAACATCAAATATTTGTTTTGATAAAATCAAGAGTTCATACATACGTAAATGTGTAAATTTAATTTGATAAAAGTTTTTCTTTTAAAAATTAAAACCATCATAACTGTAATCATCACTTCAAGTTATGTAATAATCACTGTTTTAATGATTAACCAACGGAGAAATCAACAATATATATTTAGGCTTTAAGATACAAGTGTTATGATAAGTCTGTCGTCCGAATATATTCCTTTAATAACTCTGATTCACAGATTTTCCATTGAGTACACTACCATATAGACATAGAATTAGAATTCAGTTGTCTAGATTTTGAAATTTCATTTAATTTTCGATGTAGAACAGTCTTCATCCAACGATACCAACGTGTTATGATCCTTATATTGAATTTGTAGGGTCTAGAGATTTTAGAATTTTGAGAATTCATTACTAGAGTTAGTCATTTGTCGCTTCTGAATTTATTAATGTTTAATGATATTCATCCCATTGGTAGACAATATAATTTTTAAAATGAACCCAAAAATATCTTGTACTAATTAGTTTTAAGTATACATTTAATCGATATTTGGTATATGACTATACAATTTACAGATTACTGATTGTGAACTGAATAAATCATAATCTATCCTTATCATTGATGAATTTTGTTTAGAAAAACTTGTATTAATGAAGTAACATTTATTGCCTAGTACAAAAAAATTTTTAACAATTTCATCTTCATGTTCAATAGATTCACTGTTTGAAATCATTTATCATAGAACCATTCTGTACTACTTTCAAATAGTTGATAGTTGGTGATAATCAAGTAAACTTAGAAAATAAATACACCACGTCTAACTCCATAGTTCTCATCAATCCCTTTAACAAATATCATTTGGCATATAAGTGTCAACCATATTAAATTATATGGTTTAATTCATAAAATAACCTCAGTAAAGCAACTGCTGAAAACTAAGAATTAATAGACGAGAGCTGTTTATTCCTCAACAGCGTATGCTCATGACCTCACTAAGGATTTAACCTGAAAACTTCAGATCTCGTGGCCACAGCTTAATTAAAGGCTACTAAATTTACTTTCAATAATTCAATATTTTTTAAATTCAGTTTATTTGTGGTATTTCTTAACCATTTTTCAATGAAACTGTTGGGTATCTACTACACACTGAACATTATCTGAACTCCATTGGTCAAGTTTAGAATTACTTCATGAAATTAGTCACTTGTGTACACACATAATTATTATTTGCAATCATGGTTCGATCAATGTTAGACCACTATTAGAAACCTGGAAGCACTGGACGGCGGTTTCGTTCTGGTATGGGATTCATCAGCAGTGCGCATTCACGACTCCTGCACCTCGCAGGATTCGAACCCAGGACCTTTGGTCTTGCGTGCGAACGCCTAAACTCTGGATCACTGAGCCGGTATCTAACGGTGTTAATGTCTAACTTCGATCAATTCACGGAGTTGCGCAACCTCATACAATGTCTTCGGTAGTTACTGTCTACACCCGAACAGGTTGACCTTCGCTGGTCACGACTTCCCATTAAAAATCGGAGAAGATTCCTCACAGAGCTAGTCACTAGTGAGCCTAGGTAATTGCATTACGGGGTTGTGAAGATTGTTAAGTTACACATAATTTATAAATAGTTTGGAGAACTTGTAAAGAATATTGAATTTTACATCATTGATTCTTCATTGACCACTTGATTATTTCATATTAAAAATTAAGAACGAAATTAACCGTAATCTTTGTAGTTTGTCTTTTAACTGATCCGTATCATTTGATTCATTTGAAAAAAAATGTAACAATCAAAATATTTGCACTACCCATTACAGGAAACTTTCAAAAACATTGGATTTTTATTAAAAGTTGTCAGCGAAAAACATTTCTACATTCAATACACTTGGAACATCAATTTAGTGTACACAAAAAAGGGTAATATAAGCTGAATGATTTTGTTCCACTTGTATAGAAATTAAAATTCTTTTCACAGAAAAAAGAACAAGTGGTTTTAAAAGTGTTAAATTCATAAAATAATTCGTGTATAAAACTTGTTTCATAATTATGGTTAATGTGGATTTCTTATTTGTGTGAAATTTTTTGAACGAATGATTGTGTTTTGGTTTTCCTCTTGAAATTACTTTATGCTTACGCACTAGTTGGTAATTAACAAATATTTACTGTCTAACTGAAACGATTAAACTAATCTTTGCTTTTCTCAAGAGTCTTTATCAGTTTTCATCAATGAATTATTTCAAGATTTGATCTGTACTATATATGATGATTTAAACAAAATGTATAATTCATTTTCATAGTTCACCATTTTTGTGATAGAATTTCAAGAAATCTAGATCACTATTGGTCATTAATGAACACATGAATAATAATTAACGAATTGTGCTTTTTTAAATATATTTTATTGAAAGGCATTTTTCAACAATAAAATCAAATTATTTCGCGAACAACGGAAAATCTGGTGAACAGTTATCTTGTTCTAGGTAACACTTCCTCAGGCATGCATACCTAGGTTTTGTAGCAGGCAAATACCCTTAGATAAGGGTCGAATATGCAATTATTCATGTCTACGGAATTCATGTCTCAATTTTTATTTATTGTGTCATCCTCCCGATATCTCTAATTTCACAAGTAGTAAGTTCTTATTGTTACCATTATTTATCAAAAGAAATTCGCTGTCACTACATTAGGGGGAATTCAATGTAAAGTTTGGCTACTTATTATATATTCATGTATTTAATGAAAGGGTTTGGTTTATGATATTCTTAAGTAGTCCTGATTAGATTTCACTCATATTTTTCTAAAACTTAAAAAGACAGGTTAATTGTATAAGAATGTATTGCATAGATGCCTAATGAAGGTATATGCATTATAACAATCGGGAATAATTATTTCCATGATCCCTAGATTAAAATTCTTAAGAGAATTATGGTTACTTTCATACTGATAGTCCAAGAAAATAAACTATTATTGAATATTGAAATTTAGTTGATGTAACTGTCACATTTGTCATCAATAGATCAAAATGTATTATATAAATACACAACAAAACAGCTAGTCAAAATTCAAACAGTTAAAATGCAAACACTTGAGCCCATAATTATAAAGGACAGAACAGTGATGACTTTGTTGCTTTAACTTTGATTTTAACGTCGAATTATTGATGTTTTTTGTGACCCATCGGTTAGTTCTAGTCATTCAAATCTGTTGCATACAGTTATTCCTCTTTTCAGTTGATCAAAAAATAACAGTTCTAAACAAATTCAGATGAATTTTATAATATTTAGTGAATTTTTCTCAACTGTTTACTATTTCCGTATGATATTGTTAACTATGTAGACTAACAAGTATTCGTACTTTACATTATGTTTACATATGTTTTTATCAGCACCGGAGATTGTACGGATCAATCAATCGATCGACAGCAACGTAGAACTTTGCACATAAGTACATCAGTTCAAGTTGCTATACCACATTAGCACAGAGATATAATTGTCAATCAAAATCCAATAGTAGTAGAGGTAGTAAAAGTATTAGAAGTAATCGGAGAGATTAGGGTTCGAAGATGTTATTCAAGAAGTAGAATTCAGTGAGGTAAATTTACAGAGAGAAAGATAAAGGTGATGAGGAATTGAGAAGGTTAGACTTTCATAGAACACAAAGAGTAAATGCACCTGCGCCATTGCAAACGGTTTTGAGTCATCTCACTCAGGG